CTTAAACTGATTATATATATATATATATATATATATATATAGGTCAATAATCTTGAACTGACTTGATAATGAGGATTGGTTAGTGGTTGGCTCTTATTCGGGTATTGGTTTTTAGTTAGATCATTTAGATATAATTATTTTTTATTAAAAAAATTTAAGTTTTTTTTTTTTTGTTTGGAGTTTGTATTAATTTAAATTTGAGTAGTTTTATATTTACATAATTTTAATTTCAAATATTTTATTTAAATTATTTGAATTTGAATTATTTTGATTTTAAATTAATGATAAATTTAAATTATTAATTTTCTTATAGAAAGAAACTAAATCATATTCAAATTTGTACGAATTAAATGAATTTTTTGTATTCAAATAAACTTTATAATCCATATTTTAACAATCAAAATAAATCCAAGATCAAGCTGCTAGAAAAAGCACAAGAAAGATGAATAGGAAAGATCTCAGCTTCTAAGACCACATTTCTATTTTAGGAAAAAAAAAAGAAAAAAACAAACTTCTTGGAGAAAGAAAACTTCCAAAGACCAGCCAGGCCAACCCCGTTCTCTGCTCTGAAAAACCTACGAGTACTAAACCTTAGTTTGTCCCCGTTGAGAAACATATATATGCACAAGCAACGAACAAGCCAACCCTTTGTCGTCGGCGTCAATAAAGCTTCTGTCTTTCTCCTGCTTTGTTTCTCCTGCAAGATCTCCGAGGACAGAGAACTCTGCAGGAGACGCATAACGGAGACAAAAAGAAACGATGGGTTTTGAAAAGGGAAATTCATTGTTGGAAGATTTGATAGACAAAGCTGGAGGTTTTGCTACTCAGCTTGAGAGTCACGGTGCTTCCATCAATGACCCACTTTGGAGTGCTCTTTGCTTGATCAAAGACCCTGACCTTATCAAACAGGTATCGTTCTGTCGTTTTCTTTTTCTTTATCTCCGAGCTTTGAGAGAAATATATGCATTGGTGTTTTGCAAATGTCTCCATGTGAAAAGGGAAGGAAAGATTATGGCTGTTGGGATTTCTGAAAAATACATTATAAAACAGGTTGTACTTTATTGAAAACCGGTTAAGATTTTTTATCAATGTGGAGTCGTCAAATGTGCAGGTTCATCTGGAGTATCTGGAGGATGGTGCAGATAACTTGGTTACTTCATCTTACCAGGTTTGTTAATTAGTGTCTTCAGATTGAGCCAAATAAATTGATGTGAGTGATCTGCCATTCATCTATTCCTATCATTAATCTGGTGAAAAATTGCCTTTGATTGTAATAGATAACAAGGTCCTAATGCTAAAACTGGTCCTAAGGGATTTCTAGCCAGCCATAAGTGGATTATATGCACAGCTTTGTTGAGGCAAACATTTTAAAAGTGATTATTAGGAGACATATTTACTATATGCTTCCGTTTCCAATGCAAAAAGTCAGTCTCTTTCCCATATGCCTCTCATTTAGAGTGAACTATTTTTGCTCTTTCTAAATTTTGAGTCTGAGAACATGGAGAATATTTTCTTGGGAAATTCATGAAAAATATTCTGATTATGTTATTTTTCCTTAAGTTTGCTTCTATTAATAAGCCAACAGAAATTTCTGCAGTTATCATCTGTTTAAGTTCTTCTGCAATGATTCTCAAAAAAAAAAAAAAAAATCTTCTGCAGTGAACTGCCAATGACTGAATCCCTGTACACAAGCAACATCTTTGTATGGACTTGCCTGCCTTCACGTTAGGGAGAATAATTTATATGAGATGATGGTATATAATAAATCCATTTTAATTATAATATTCAGCCTTTCCAAATTTGAATCTCTTTTCTTCTTAACTTGAGAATGAAGGCTGAAGAAAACAATTGTAATTTTCCATGTTAGTAATCAATCTTGCTGAAGGTTATTATGGCTTGCTACCACAAAGAACTGGAGTTTATCTTGCTTCCAATTTCTGGTTTTCATCCTAATCATCTATTCTCTTAGTTGCATCTAGTTTGTATTTGCAGGCCATGATTCCTGGATTCCTGTCCAGGGGACTTTCCCTCGAAGAAGGGGAGTTATTACTAGAAAAGAGTGTTAAATTGGCTGTGGAAGCCCGTGATAAGTTGTGGGACACTATAGGGAGTGTTCCGGGGAATAACTGAGCTATGGTTGCAGCCTCAATTGGAAGTTATGGAGCATATCTGGCTGATGGTTCAGGATACAGGCTCCAAAAATTTGTATAACTTAGACATAGTCAAAATCTTTTAGAGATCAGACATCTTTCATTAGCTTAACATGACATTATCTGCATGTGTTTTGTCTTTTCCTTAAGTGAATGTTATGGAGCTGAAGTAAATCTGGACAAGCTGAAAGATTTTCACCGCCGCAGATTGCAAGTTCTTGTTGAAGCCGGTCCAGATTTGCTAGCCTTCGAGACCTTTCCCAATAAACTTGAAGCTCAGGTTTGTTCTTGTACAAATTTCATTTTTTATGTATCATATATATTGACGACAATGTTGCAGGAATGGCAATTTGTTTACTGAGTAATGACCATATGTTGGTTACAAACTGTTGTTAGCGAATGTATTTTAATGATAGTGGATCAAACTATTTTAACGATAGATTATCATGTTCATGAATTGCAAGCTGCAATTCTTATGATCACACAAGTTGCTGGTAGAACTAGAACCTTTGGTTTAATGGACTGAATTTTTTTTATTGTCTTCAATTCTTCCTTATTCAAACAAAAAGAAAATAACAGCATATCAAGTTCAAGTGATTCCTCTTGCAATTTTAGGAAATAAATAATGAACTTTTTCTTTTAGGATTACCATGCTTACATATGGGAAGTTACTTGCATTCTTCATTTGCTTTTCAAGTTCCAGTGTATCATTGATCTATTCTTCAAAGTTTTAAAAATAAAAATCAGCCAGCAATAAGTTGTACAGTTTAATGAACAGTGACTCAAAAGTTTAATCATCAAATTACTCTTTATGACTCAATGTTGAACATTTTTTGTTTGAAAATTTTCATCCTTTATGGAAAGATTCTTCAAAATCATTAAAAATGCAATCAGAATGCTATTCATAGCATTCTACATATTAGCTCTAATGAAATTGTTCATTATCAATGCTAAAGCACTCATTCAGAGTGCAGAAATCTAAGTTTACTTGCCTCTTTTCTAGCTGCTGCAGAGTGAAAAATGTCTTGGTGTCCTGATGCTCTGAACAATATATTTTATATCCCTTTTCCTCTTGACTGGAATTTCCCTTCACAGAGTGATGATATCTTTCTATCTCTACTTGCAGGCCTGTGTTGAGTTGCTTGAGGAAGAAAACATTCAAATTCCATCATGGATCTGCTTCAGTTCTGTAGATGGTGCGAATGCTCCATCAGGAGAGAGTTTTAAAAGAGTGTTTTGATATATTAAACGAGAGCGACAAAGTAAATGCAGTTGGAATAAATTGTGCACCTCCCCATTTTATTGAAAGCCTTGCCGGCAAATTTAACGAGGTAAGATCTGACAATTCATGTATTTTTGTTGTTGTATAAAAATATTAACAATTTGTATATTTGTATTGTGTTTTACTAGAAAATTATGTATTACAATTCATGTTGATGTGAAAACCACAAAATACATTTTTTTGTTTTTGTTAATCCATATAAAATTTTTGCTAAAATTTTAACCATTATAACTTTCGTGTATTTTTTTTAATATTATTTTTGTGTTATATCATCATATTGTGTTTCATACTCTCAAGTCAATGAGTTCAAGCAATGAGCGGACAATCTGGAGTATATTTTTCCTTTTTCTTTTTTTTTTTCCGAAGTAATAAACAAATGATTCTAACTGTAACTTCTCAATGTTCCAGTTGACAACCAAGGCAATTGTCGTTTATCCAAATAGCGGAGAGATGGCATGGTAGGGCTAAGAAGTGGCTGGTAAGTCCATTATTTTATGACTTGGTTTCTACTATTAGTTAAACAAAAACATGTCGCATCCACTGTAATGGACTTTCTTCGATTAACAGCCATCAAAGTGCTTTGATGATGACAATTTTGAGTTATTCGCAACAAGATGGCGTGACTTAATAATTTTGTCATTTGGATAATGTTTAGTTTACCGAGTGCTTATATGCAAATCTGACTACATGCATTGGCAGATAAAATTCAGGGAAACATTTGATAAGAGCTGTTCTGGAATACGTAAAAACGGTTTTTTTTTTTTTTTTTCACTCAACAGCGGAGATTTTGTCAATGGTTTACAGCAAGAACTTCATACCATCATGCTTGTAAACATTAACAGCAAATCTGTTTCTATTGTTGTGATTATCCTGGAAATCCTCACCTGCCAAACAAATTCTGGCACAAATAGAACTCAGAGCGGTTTCAAAATTCAGCATGGTGTTGAATCAAAAGCAGTTCTGGCGTGGCAAGTTTGCCAGGTTGCAGTTTTCTGATCAGGTGAATTGACAAAATGAGGAAAGAAAATGGAGTTAGCAGCAGTTTCATCTAGCAAAATCTACCTTCGCAAAGTAGATTAAAATATCTCCCTTTCGAGCAAGTCCACCACTGTGGCCTGTATCTGTAGTGTTTCAAGTAGATCTGCGTCAAAACATGAAATAAATAACAGTATTTAAGATCAACCAAAAGAATGTTGACTTTATCCACCGTCGAGGACAGTATTTAAAATAAACCAAAAGAAACTATTCTTCAACACAATAAGCTCATATTGATTTTCCCTTCCAGCAAGCAGTCGGCTTTATCAGCATGGCAGATTGAAAGTATCTATGCTGTATATCTTTACATTTTTTGGCAGTCAGCCTGTCCCCACGATATAAAAGCACAAAAAATTAAAATAACAGCACAGCTGGTTTCAATTCAAATGCAAAAGAACCAAGGCCACAAGGAAACATGAAAGATTAAACTTTATCCCAGTTCAATAGTTCTTTTCTTTCACTACAAAATCTATCATCAAGAAGCTAAGAGCCTAAGACCTGGTGAAGCCACTCAAAACCAGGCCGTCTACAGCCGTCTTCATGAAATCAACGCCATGGAGGATCATGGTTACTGTAGGGCCCCCAGCCACCATGGTAGCCTTGAGCAAATGCACCATCAGGATATTTCATTTCAGGGCTTCCATTAACCGTTCTGTAACCACCTATATAAATTTTACAGAGGCTTTCATTCCAACATGATTTTGGAGAGCAGCAGATGCTAAAACCCTCAATAGGAGGAGCCACATATAATAACAGTTATGAAATTTTATAACTAGTTGCATGCTACAGATAGAGAGGAGGAAGGGATAGGTAGAGTCCGAAAGAGATACCAATTCCTTGTGCTCTCCTGTCTGCATTCATCTGCTCTGCACGAAGCTTCTCAATTTCACAAGCCATGGAGATAAGATTTCGCTCCATTGCTTTCTTCTGTTCGGCTTGTTGCTCATTAAGATTCTTCTGATATTCAAAAGCTCTCCTATGAAAACACGCAGAACCCATTTCATTTTGTAGAAAGAGTAGCATTTGGCAACTATATGCAATGCCATCCCATAGTCATCCTATCACATGTTTACCTCCACCACAAGAAGAGAAAAGGTAGAACTCAAATTAATAGATGAATCTTTAACCAAAATAAAATGCAATTTCAAACCTTGCATCAACAAGCGCCTTATGCATTCCTTCAACTTCAGCCCTTAAGGCAATTAGCTGCTGATTCTCAGCTTGCAAATGATTAACCTCCTTTGTCAGACCCTGGAGTTGGGTAGTCAATTCCATCCTTAAAGCATTCAATTTTTTAATTTCAGTTCTTAAATGCATAACCTCTTCCCTGAGCAGCTCAGAAGCATGAAGCTCTGCTTCAAGCTTCAGTCCTCTATCAATCAATTCCCTGGTCTGAGCCTCTTTTCCAGCCTGGAGCTTGTATGTGACCTGGCTTAATCTGCGAATCTCGTCTTTTGCAGCAGCCAATTCCCTTTGAAAATGAGTATTATCATCTATGATAAGTCGATTCTCAGCAATAATCCTCTGGATTTCTCTGTGCTGCATTTCAACTTCTTCCCGAGCTGCAGGGTGAAAATGCATAGGACCTGGTGCCTGGTTCAAAACAGGCTGAGGGCCATTGCGAAAACCTTGGAAACTATCAGGATGCTGAGGCATATGGTTTCTCCCTGCCATACTTAAAATCCTGCAGAAATAATGGCTACAATCATTTATAAGAGAAAAGTAAACTTCTATATGAACGGAAGATAGTCTGCAAAAGGGCAGGACAAAGGACGAAATGTCATCTTCAATTAAAAGAAGAAAACTACTCAAATAGGGCAACATATACGATTCTCAAACTTCTGGCAATGTGTTTCACTAAAGTCCTCTTTCCACCGAATTAATTGAACAGTTGAATAATACAACAGCTGAACAATGAACCACCATTATCATAGTTTTGCAAGAACTTGTGCACTGCCAAAAAAAAAAAAGGATCATGAGTTTCTCTAAGTGGCTGGAGTTGGAGATCATTGAAAAAGGTTCATCCTTTTCCAGCCCATCCCAATTCGTTCTGAATGACATCGTCAAAACAATTTCACCATGTACCGTACTAATCAAATCTCACAGACTCTGACTTCAAACAAAGACTCAAAGACCTAGCCCATCCACCACCACCGCCATTCCTACCTTTCACTTTCTTCTCTCCATTCCCGCCTCTTCATACTTCGAATTATGAACCATTCTTTTTCTTTCTTCTTGTCTCTTTCCATTTGATTATCACATTTTACTCACTAATATTTGCATCTAAGTGAAATAAAACTCTGAAAAAAATGGAACAAGAAATAAGACGAAACCAAAAGAAGGACCTGATAATAAAAGAATCATGGAAAGCGACGACAACTATACATAACTTTGGAAAGTATTAAAATATACGAAAAAGAGGCGAATAAAATATAGAAGAAACTAAATTTACAACTCCTCAAGCAAAATAGAAAAAACAAAAAGAGGAGTTGCATTTTCAGCAGGCAACGCACTCGGAAGAAACGCTTGGATTTCAAGGAAGGCCTATAGTTAAACAATGTCGTTTGCAATCGAAAGCTTGTAACTTACAGTCAAGAAGCTTTAAAGAAAGCAATGGCGATTCTCAGGCAAACCGTGATTTCCGAATCGGAGGAGGAAAACAGACCGACCAACTTTGCCGAAAGCCGATTATGGAGCTCATTTACGAATTTGACCCTCGCGCTTCCCTAATAGTACCTGTTATCTGCTGCTATGGGCCGTCTCGTAGGCAGTTGGGCCAATTGTATGTTTTTATATTGGGCCTCATGGCCTGCATTTGAATTCGCGAGTTTCAACATAGTGAAAAAAAAAATTCTATTGTAGAAAGGCTTGTTTCCAAGAATTCATCTCCAATGTTATTTTTAAACTTTACAAATGAGTTAGGAAATTAATTAATATATTTTTTATTATATTATTTCTTTTATTATTTTAATATATCATAAAGAGATATCCATCACCCATTATAGTTGGTGGATTTAAAAAATTTTATTAACAGTTGATGAAATACAATAATAACAAATTAAATCTTATATTTCATAACTTTAGAGTTGATTATATGAAAGACTACAAATAAAAAAAAAAAGAATCATAATAGGTCATAGTTTTGAATCTTCTTGTATTACTCATTTATATATATAAAAAAATATTTTCATATACTTCTTTAACCCTCATATAATTTCTTATTATTTATATCTACATCTTTCATGGTCTATTTCTATAAGTTTTGATCTTTCTAAATCCAAAAACTTATTTTTCCTAACTGATACACTTCTAGGCTTACTTTCACATATCTAAACCATCTCAAAAGATCATCTCATATTTTCTTTAATTCGAACTATCTCTAATTTTTTTTAATCTCTCTATTTTTTATTTTGTCTCTTTTAGTCTTATCATATATCTATCTAAGTATCATCATCTCAATTACACTTATTTTCTTTTCATGTTATTATTTAACGGTCCAACGTAATCTCATATAATAATAAATGCCTTATAGTTGTTTTATACAACTTTGCCTTTAATTTTAAAGGCATATTGCAATCACACAACACACCTGATACACTTCGTTACCTCACTCATTTTACTTAAATCCTATGATTTATATCCGTTTCTATTTTAGCATTGTTCTGAATAATTGATCTCATATATAAAAAATGACTATTTTTGGTACTAGCTCATCATCCAACTTAATCACATTAGCACTAGCTTTTCTATGACTACTTAAACATATATTTCATATATTCAATGTTAGATATACTCTGTTTAAAGCCTCGAAACTCCAATGTATGCCATTATAATTCTAATTTTGCATAAAAATCATCATTAGTTTCAACAATTAAGACTATATTATCGATAAATAACATACATCATGGCATCTTATCTTGGATATATCCTATAAGCTTGTCCATAACTATTTTAAAAGAAATGGGCTTGGCGTTGATCCTTAATGCAATCTTGAGGTAATAGGAAAGCTATCAGTCAAAACACAAACATCCTCACATTCATTGCAACTTGTCATATATATCTTTAACTATATTAATAACTTTAAAGGAATTATTTTCTTCATTAAGACTCACCAAAGCATGTCTCAAGAAACTTTATCGTATGTTTTTTCTAAATCAATAAATACCACATATAAATATTTCTTTCTCACTTAAAATCCTCCAACAAAAGTCTTAACAGGTAAATTACTTTTGTTGTGGAGCGTCTTGACATAGACGCTAATTGTTTTTGGAAATAGTGACTTCATGTTATAACACATTTTTTAATTACTCTTTTCCAAAGTTTCATAGTATGAGTTATAAGAGGAAATGAAATAATTTTCTTTATTTCAATAGAGAAGAAAGAGAAAAAGAAAAGCTCCAATTTACATTTTCTATTTCAATTATTTACTAGACTTTAATTTTTATCAAAAATATATAAATGATTTGTCTAAATATAATAACAAATTATACCTCGACATAATTATAATATAATATTTGAAGTATTTTTAAATTTTAGTTTTGAGCCTATTCGATATAAGCTAATAAATAAAAGAAAAAGAAAAGAAAGAAAGTTCTTTTTTTTTTTTTAATATGGATACATGTTTTTCTTTTGGATTGTTACTAATGAGTACGAAAAAGAATGGAAAGATTACCAAAATCTTTTATTTGGATAATAGGTGAAATGCAATGGAAATAGCATGTTATAAATAAGGTATCTAACATATACTATTTTAATCTGTAAGTTGTTGAAATGGTGACATGTGGTTTTTTAAAAAATCTTTTATTAATCTTTTATTTTTTATTTTAACTTACATAAATCTATCTATTCATTAAGCATTTATGAATCTACAGTATTTATGAATTCAATTAATTGTGAATATTTGAATTTTGTATTTCGTATCATTTAAAATTTGAGTCTTGATTCGTATGAACTATATTTCAATATTCATGAACTTAATTTATAAATATATGGTATCAATGAACCTAATTAACTATAGATGAATGTATTTTGACTATTCATGAACTTAATCATTTATGAATCTATAATAATCATAAATTAAATTAATTGTGAATAAATATCATTCTTCCTACTATTTAAATTTTGAATCTAGATTCATGTTTACTATTAATTAATTATGAATAAATCCAACTTGAATGAATTTACTATTCATGAACTAATCATTCATAAATCTATGATGTTCATGAATCCAATTAATTATGGCTTAATTTATTTAGTGTGTAATATAATTTAAGTTTAACATATTTATTAAAGGAATAATATCCTAAATGGCCCCTAAACTATTGTAGTTTGCTAGATTTGGTATTTAAACAAAAAAAAATTTAAATAGGTACCTAAACTATGAAATCGTATATCAATTTGGTTTAAGAGTTAAATTCGTTAGCCTAGATGCTAACTTAATTGTTTTAGCCAATAAAAAATCCGCCATGTAAGCATAAAATGATATGTAAGCATGACATGGATTGCTTATGTGGCTAGAAAATTTGAAAAAAAAAATTGAATCAGTAAAAAAAAATTAAACCCTAAACGAATTAATTCCCCTTAAACCTAAACCCCAAATTCAATATCTAAACCCTAACCCCCAAATGCGAAGAAGAAAGAAACCAAAAGCAAAATAAGCCCTCGTCTGTTATTTCTTTCCTATTTACACTTCCCATTTGATATCCAAATGCTTGGATAGTTTGATTGATACAACCAAAAATGATTTCGCTTTCTCTCTCTCTCTCTAGGATTTAATAAGACAAAAATGAAAAGAAAATGGAAAATTGAGGCTACTGTTTCAATAACTCATGAATAAACCTTTTTTTATAAAGAAAAGTGGAAATTCTACAAAAACTTATCGAACTTCACCATGCCAAATATAGAACAACAAATCTTTTCTCATAGTAACTTATGCATCAAAATTACAAAGGAAAATTTGTAGTAAAAATATTGAAATGTTTTCTCATATGAATAATCTCAAACGCTTTTTTGACCATCGTCTTTTAAATTATTGCCATTTGCAGAATCTTGCCTTCTCATTATTATTGTTTCAGACTCTTTCAATGATGTAGCTTCTCTCATTTTCTTCACCACTCTATCATCATCGATCGTCAAGTAGAGATCAAGATCAATCACTTTCCATTCAACCACATCACTAAAACCCTTTTTTTTTTTTTCACAAAATCATCATCTCTTGTCCGAAAACACTGCCCACCATCACCAACCATTTTTTAAGCATCATCAAAATTTGACCTTGAAACTTTGCCGTTAAATTTAGAGAGAGGCTGTAATGTGCTACCTTAAAGCATCATTTGTACCGCCAATTTAGGGGTTAGGGTTTGGGTATTGAATTTAGGGTTTAGGTTTAAGGGGGAATTAATTTGTTTAGGGTTAAAATTTTTTTTATTGATTTATTTTTTTTTTTAATTTTCTAGCCACATAAGCAATCCATGTCATGGTTACATATCATTTTATGTCAATGTGGTGGATTTTTATTGGCTAAAATAGCCAAGTCAGCATCTATATTAATGGAGTTAACTCTTAGACCAAATTAATACATGATTTCATAATTTATGCACATATTTAGCAACTTTTTTAGTTTAGGTACCAAATCCAACATCTTATAATTGTTCAATGGTCATTTAGGACATTATCCCTTTATTAAATAATATAAATACATATAAATCAAGTCATCGCATTAGATCCACAACATGTTATGCCTTGCATAGTATTCCTGTGTGTTTATTGAGCTTTCTTCACTTCAGCGCCATGCGCTTTGCTTCGCTTTATAGAAGAGAGAGAGATGATTGTCTAAAGAGTGAAAAGCAAGTGATAGAAAGGATGTCCCATCGTTGGTTCACTCGTACTGTTAAAAATGATGAGATCATTAAATCATTAGTGAAAGAAGGACCAACGACGATCCTATCCTAAGGAGAAAGAAGGTTAGTCTTTTTTGAATATCGACAAAAAAAATTAAACAATATGATTAAAAAATGATATGAAAAACCTGTAACAACACACGGGATGTGACACTTATAACCATTGTTTTGGTCCTCCTTATGAAAGAAAGATTATTTTGACCCTAATCTCTTATTTGAATCAATTTGGCACATATTCTTTAATTTTTGTCAAATTAAACAGATTTTAGCAAAGAGTTAGTCATATACTATCATGTGATAACAGTTTCATTAAGCCTGTCATGTCATCTATCACATGGATTAACACATCATCATTTATTGCCATGTGTCAATCCACAGTACTAAAATGCCACATGGCTAATGTCGTGTTAATCCAAAAACATTTTTTCCCATTTTTCTTCCCCTTCTTTCTCTACAATCTCCCTAAAACTTTAAGACTTCAAAAACAACTACCTCTCTACTCAAAATCTGATGCCAAGTTATCATGCTAGCCATTTTAACAACCGTCTTTGAGTTGCCCGACATAGCCAAAATTACATAGAAAAAAAACACTAAGAAAACTCATATGATCTTCTCAACCTTATATTTGACTTGGGCTTTTTTTTTAAAGAACTTCATGCAAAATAATTTATTCATGTATAAAGCAAGATTAAGCAAAAAAAAAAAAGTCAATGGCAGAATAACTAAAGAAAAATGAAGCTTAAACAGTGCAAATTAAGGTGGCCTAAGTTTTAGTTAAGTTAAGTTCATTTGGACAGGACAACT